GCCTCATTCTTCGCCTCATTCTTCGCCTCATTCTTCGCCTCATTCTTTGCCTCGTTCTTCGCCTTGTTCTTTGCCTCGTTCTTCGCCTCGTTCTTTGCCTCTCTGTTCGCCTTGCCCTTCACCTCGGTCTTTGCTTCACTCTTGGTCTCAGAGATCAGTTAGCCCTCTGAATATGTGTTGGAAATGACTCTCATCTACCGCACCACAAAACCGCGTTAGAGCCATAGTTGCATTTCCCAATTGTCTGTGGCGGCCATCTTGAGTCACGCTGACTCCAGAAGTTTATCAGCTGAAGGTACGTGCATCCACTTATTACTCTCTTTGACTTTCATTAAAGTCTGCTGCTGATGAGCAGCTGGGGGTCGAAGGTTAATGATGCTGAAACTTTACTGTGATCCAATAATGCTCAGTCAGGTCATCTGGATAGTTTCTTTTTTTTTTCAAGTGATTAAAATTAATGGGTGTGTTCCTTTTCAGTCAGCCAGATGATGACCTGGAGAGGGGAGGAGCCTCCTCTTTAATGGAGTAGAGCATTTGTTGGTAGGAGGAGGAGTCACCTTGAATCAGAAAAAAACAGTCAGAGCGATTTAAGGAGTCATTTAACAGCTGAAAACTTGAAACAACTCAACTGGAAACTACTGAGCATAACCAGACAGGAAGCAGGTGTGAGTGAGTGTGGCTTAAAGAGACAGGGAACAGGTGTGAGTGAGTGTGGTTTAAAGAGACAGGGAACAGGTGTGAGTGAGTGTGGCTTAAAGAGACAGGGAGCAGGTGTGAGTGAGTGTGGCTTAAAGAGACAGGGAGCAGGTGTGAGTGAGTGTGGCTTAAAGAGACAGGGAGCAGGTGGGAGTGGGCATGGCAGGATTAAGGAGCAGGAGATGGACTGAGGAAAAGTACTGGTCAAATGAACTCATGACTCAGAAAAACTCGGAATAAACTAGAATAAACCAAAAATAAACACAGAAGGTTATCAAAAAATAACCAAAACATAAATACTGACAGACACCAGCTACTGTTTCCCACAGAGCCCGTCGTTTATCAGATTCACTGACTTCATTCATCACATCTGGATCTTGGCAGTCAAACAATTTTGTTTTGTTTACATCGGTCACGTGGTTCAGCTGGTTTAGCTGCTGGATCTGAGCGACGCATTTGACTGATAAACTGATTGAGATGGATCCAAAACCATGCCCTCTCAGCTCTCGTAAAAGTGGAGAATCTCAGTAGGTGTAAAGCCTGATTTGAGGTGTGTGCTGTGGGTTTTAAACTTAAGATGCTTGTTCTTCCGCAGACCGAATGTGTGTGGCTCCAGGAACAACGCCTACTGCTGCCCGGGATGGAAGACTCTGACCGGAGGGAACCAGTGCATCGTCCGTAAGTTCCTCCTCCAACGTTCCACCAATGCTCTTAACTCCTGAGCTAACATCACAACAATAAATAACATATTTTAATTGATGGCCTCTCACTAGCCTCCCTGGCCAAACAGACTTATAGGCATTTGTCTGTTAGCAAAATATCTGATGAACCAGTGGATGAACTTTAATGAAACTTTCAGGAAATTTGTACTAATGTTTGGACCAACTAAAGTCGATTAGCCACAGCTAACTGGCAGAAGCTAGCAGCTTCAGAGCAGCTAGCATAACTGGCTAGAAAGCGGTCAGTTTTACAGATATTCAGCTAAAGTTTGGGATGGTAGTAGCTGAGAGTCATCCCCAACACACATCCTGAGGGTTAACAGATCCCATGAGGTCTTGGTATGTAAGCTGGCAGGTGATCTGCATCATGCAGTGTGTGCCACTTTGATTTTGTGTGTCTGTTTTGCTGTGAGCCTCCTGCACTGAGCTGGCAAAAAAAAAAAAAAGTAACTTTAAATTTCAGGTGTATTTCCTTCTTCTTTGTTTTCACTCCTCTGTCTCACAGCCTTCTGTCCTCCATGGACACTGTGGTCTGAGCAAAGTTCTGCTCCATGACCGGTCAGCTGGCAGGAAGCTGGTCGCAGCTTTAATGACTGTGCTGAGCAGTGGGGGGGGGGGGGGGGGGGGG